AACTTATCAACAAATGTGAACATTTACGTATACAAAGAACAACAAAATAGATTTTGCATGAAACCATAATCTCTTGTAAGGTACATTTTCAAATGGATATTAGATTTAACATGCTAGTTAAAAATATTATATGATGATCAACTATGAATTACTCAGTTATTCTCAGCAATACAATGATCCAAGACAATCCCAAATGACACATGATGAAAAATGCTATCTAGCTCCAGAGAAAAAACTGATGGAGTCTGAATGCTAATCAAATCACACCATTTTTCACTTTTTTTACATTTTTCCTGGGTTTTTTTGGTCTGTTTCTCCTTTCATAAAATGACTAATATGAAAATGTTTTACATGCTTGCATATATATAGCCTATATCAAATTACTTACCATCGTAGAGAAGGGAGGTGATGAAGGAAAGGAGAAAATTTGAAACTCAAATTTTATTTAAAATAATGTTAAAAATTGTCTTTACATGTAATTGGGGGAAATAAAATGCTACAAAAAATAAACAAAATGTTTTTTTCTACCAGAAAAAATGCAAATTTGACTACAGCTTACCAGAAAGGAAACATCTGCTTACCACTATGAAAATCAATTCAAAATCATCTGTTTAGAGGAAGTCAGAACATCAACTGGTTATTAAACAAGCCAAAATCAACATCAAATTAGAATAAGGATTGAGATGAAAAGATGTTATCACCTGTGATAATCACAGTTCTAACAAAATGTACTTTAAAAAAATTACCAGCAGTGAATGGATATGTATCAGATAAAATAATATCTAAATGTTATCTAATAATGTTTTTTTTAGAGAAATCCAAACAATGTAAAACAATCATCATAACAAGGAAGCAAAGAAACCCCAGAAACAGCTTCAGGAGGAAAATCTATATCTCCTTGCCAAGTTCAGAGACAACAGAGCAACAACAGGGTAGAGTATGAATTCATTTGCAAAACAATATGAAACAACATGAGGCAAAATTAGGAATAATACTGCCTCATTAAACAGGAAAAGGCAATTGAGAAAATAAATTTAAGGGTGTTTATACTGAGATACAGCTAAGCCAGATTACCCCAAGATAAACTGTAAATGGATCTGGAAGGAGGAAAAAATACATATGAATGGAATAGATGCAGGAGTATTTCTACAGTGACCTATTCTCACGCATGATAATGGTAAAATCACTTCATTTTTACTCCAAGACCCCAGAATCTAGTGTACTGTGTATGTAATACAACTTTAAAAGCTGAAGCAGGAGCAGCTAGGTGGTACAGTGGAAAGAGCACCAGCCCTGAAGTCAGGAGGACCTGAGTTCAAATCTGGCCTCAGACCAAACACTTGACACTTACTAGCTGTGTGACCCTGGGCAAGTCACTTAACCCCAATTGCCTAAAAATTAATTAATTAAATTAAACTTGAAAAATAAAATAAAATGGGTTAAATAAAATATTTTTTTAAAAAGTTGAAGCTAGGAAGGGAGGTTGGATTTGACCAAATACATGCAGGAAAAAAAATGCTATAGGTAATCCAGGTTTAAAGACGTTTGGGCATCAGATTTGTGAGTTATCTTCACAGAAATGATAATAAAATCCATTGGAACTGATGAGGTCACCCAGAAAAAATGTAGAGGGAGAAGTAAAGAGGGCTCAGGCCCAGGACAGGACTTTCAGTATCTACAGAGTCAAGCGAAATATACAACACGGAAGTGTGTTCACCTAAGATGTTCCCCAGGGCCGTCAAGGACACTCTGTGCAGAGTTCAAAGAAAAGGACATTAGGCACTTCAAATGTTCCTATTCTCAGTCAACATTATTATAGCTGGATCAAGGCCCATACTAATATCAGTACTGTTCGATGAAATCCAGGCACAGAATCTCAGAGTTGGAAGGGGCCTCACAGCCATTGAGTTCACCTAGTACCTTAACCAAGAATTACTGGTACACCACCACTAACAGGTGGACATATAGACTTGGCTTAAAAACCTCCTCTATAAGAAACTCCACTAACTCCTGAATCAGGCCATGCTACTTTTTGACAGCACTAATTACTAAGAAAAATTTTCTTTATATGGAACTCTTTTGTTTGTCAGTTATCCATAGCATTCCAATGAGCTGAGTTCTGTTGAACTAGACTTCTTGGTTTACCATATAATTTTTTTTAGGACCAGAGATACAGGCAGGATCAAATGGATCTTCCACTTATTCTTAGGACAAGGGGTAACCTAGAACTGCTGAGGTTATCCTCATCAGGTCCCATGGGTTTAATCATCATCTCTACTCATATGATTCATGGGTCTATAGCCATAGTCTCTCCTCTGAACTTCAGCCCTACGTCACTAACTACCTAATGGGTATTTCAAACAGGATATCCTTGGAGACACTGCAAGCTTGATATGTCAAAAACTAAATTCATTACCTTCCTCCTCTCTTTCATACTCCATCCCTGTACTCCAACTATACCTCTACCAAACTTCCTATTTCTATCTAAGGCACTACCGTTCTTATGGTTTCCTAGGTTCATAAAGTCAGCATTATCATCAATAATTTATTCTCTCTCCCCTAACACACCCAGTCAGTTGCTCAGTCTTGGTATTTCCGCCTTCACACCATCTCTTGCATTCATCCACTCCACTCTACTAATGCAGCCACCAATTTAGTTCAATCCCTCATCACCTCTTGCTGAGCCAATTGCAATGGTTTCCTAATTGGTTTCCTTCCTTAAATCTTCCTCCAATTCAGTTCATCCTCTCTACAATCACTAAAGGAATTTTCCTTGCACATCCATCTAACAATGACTAGGGTTCCCTCTAACCTCTAGCATAAAATAAAGACCCTATTCCCAGTTCTGCACCTGAGGTTGACCTGTCTAACCCTAAACCACAGTGTTTGAAGGTAGCTGAATCAAATACAGACATGTCAGGTGAATGTCTGTTTGCTTTTCTACATTTAGGTCTTCCTCACTTTTCCCATTTCCTCTGTTTCAGAAGTCCTGGCTCCTCCCTTCCCTGGAGGCTGTACAGTAAGAGCCTGCCCTGAGTTAGTAAACATAACATAATAAATAGTGCAATGACCAGGAGCCCTCACTGTCTAACAGCTATTTGGCTAGAAGTGGAGTATCTGTTTTTAATTCCTCTGGTTTAAGGGCACAAAGGCACCTACCTTAAGCATGTGGCCAGCTGGGAAAGCTGAAGTCATGAGGAATGTATGGCTTTAGATTTCATGTGTATCTGTAGTTAACTGCTCCAAAAAGAGTAGTATGTTAAGATTTAGGAAGTGTTGGCAAAGACACACTGGATTTGGAGTCAAAGGACCTGGGTTTAAATCTTGGTTCTGTTCCTTACTATCTGTGGCCATAAGGAATTCACTTTATCTCTGTTTCCTCACCTATAAAATGAAGAGGTTGGATGAAGTCCCTTCTTTAAGGTCACTTACACTATGATCACCATAGGTGGTACAGTGAATAGAACTTGAGACTTGTAGTCAGGTTGGCCTGAGTTCAAGTCCAGACTCAGATTAGTTGGGTGACCCTGGATGAGTCACTTAACATTTTGTCTGCCTCAAAACTCCTTGTCTATAAAATGGAGATAATAAAAGCACCTATTTCCCAAGGTAGTTGGGAGGATAAAATGGGATAATATTTGTAAGGCACTTTACAAACAAAAGCTATTATTATCACACAAAGGAAAAAATGTCCACGTGCTGAAAGACTGTGAACTGCCCATACTATAAGAGACTAGTCTTATATTTTTTTCAAGAATCAAAAAGTTTCCTCTCTTAACAGAAGCATAAGTTTTTACAAATTCTACAAAATAGGGTCTAACAAAAATGCTATACACCTAGCAAACAATCAATACTTACAAATGAATAAAGACAATATATTACACCAAATCCAGTTTCATCAATTTCTAAATGGAAAGAATTTTCTTTACTAAAATATTCCTAGACCACTTTACCTGGATCTCATCTTTGCCCCCACCCCTCCTTATGTTATATATTATGCTTATTTCTGCCATGCTATCAGAGTGTAAGCTTCTTCAGGCAGTCTCATTTTTTGAAAACCTCTGCATACTTAACCCCATCATAATGTCCTGCATACAACAGGCATTTAATGAAAGTTTACTGAATGAATGCAATGAATTTGGACTCAAATGAGTATATTGAAGCAGTTAGCCAGATAGTCTCAATGGAATGTCCAATTCTTTGTTTCAATCTTTCCACCACTAGTCTGCACCACTGACATAGCAATCTCTCAGTATCTCGAAAGAGCCAGTAATGTTGTTTCTTCCAAACACGGTTGCTTTTTAGCCCAAAACAATAAATTTAATCTGTAAATTATACCCACTCACCCCCATGATTCCCTTGTTTCATTTTTTCCCCTAAATTGTCCCTAGCTACTGGGTTCAATTTATTATTTCATCTATTTGACTGGGAAAACTACTCACTGGTGCTTCATCAGGCCCTCCCACCTTGGCAGGTGTAGCTAAGTGAGTGAGCAAGCACCTCTGGAATGAAACGGGGCTTTCTCATCCAGCCCCTCTTTCACAGAGAGGGCTCTTTTGTCACAAAGAAAGCAGACCAGTTCTCCCCACTATTTCTGACAAGTTGTTACAATGTAGTAATTAACCATTAAAATATTGCATATGACTCACAGGAATGCTGCAGACAAACTAAATTAACCAGGGTCAGGTCCCCAAATCAGCAGGATAGGGACAGAAAGAAAAACAAAGAAGAGGGAAGGTAAGAGACAGCTGCTATTAAAAGTAACGCCAGGCAGCGGAGAACGGTCTGCGCACATCCCTGAAAAAGTAATTAGCCCAATCCTTCCAGAAATTAAACCATCAAAATGACATTACACTACGCTTTTTAAAAATTATTTACAGAGTGCTTACAGCAGTCATGCTAGTAGAGGATTCTGGCCCGAGGGCTTCCCTTCACAGACAGGAAGGATGTGGAACAGAACGAGAGACTGTTAGAAAGAAAGTTCAAATTGTCACCGCCGTACTCTGGGAAGAGTAGTGTGCTGAGTTTCCTTGCCAGTGCCGAACTTGAGAGAGAATTACCATAATAAGCTAGCTTCCCGTTCCATGTAATCCTGTGGGATGGTTGAAATGAGAGAACAGAAATCTAGCGCTTCGCCTTCCAAGAGCCGACATTTGCCGAAGGGCAGCAACAAGAGAGGTGGCGAATTTTAGCAGGGGAGCCCAGTTCATTACCTCTCACAAGGGTGGAGCCTTGTGACTTCATTTTCTTTCATCAGGGGCAGCAAGCTTATAAATATACCCACTGGTAACAAGTGACTGAGAAGATGGGCTTACGGATTTATTATTTTCAAGAGTCCAGAAATTTATGCTTTTCCTTAGCATAAGCTGCAGCAAAATAAATAAATAAAATTTAATATAGTTTTAAAATAAATTTTTAAAACGTTTTTCCAATATATTCCTTGAGGGTGGGATGGAATCCTCCCTCCCCCCCAAAAAAAAGGTTATTTTGAATTTATAGGGCTAGATTTGGATTCCTAACCTATTTTATGTCATGGACCCCTCTGGCAGACTGCTAAAGCTTATGAGACTCTTCAAAATAATATTTTTTTAATTCATAAAATATGTAGGATTACAAAGGAAACCAATTACATTAAAATGTATTTACCCAGATTTTTTTTTTAAACAGGTTAATGGACTCCAAGCTAAGAACTCCTGGACTAGAAGTATCCACATTCAAATCAACCACACAATCAGAATTTATTAAGGATTGTGTCTGAAGCATAGTAAGTATTTCATAAATTCTTGCTGACTAACTTACTGACAAACCTTCTATGTGCCAAGTATGGTGGTAGGCACTGGGGATATGAAGACAGAAATGAGTCCTTGCCCTCAAGGAATTTATATTCTATTAGGGGATACAATATGTATGCATACCGGTCTATACCAGATACATACAAAGTAAATAGAAGGTAATTGGGAAATGAGAAGGCACTAGGGGGAGACAGGGGGTAGAGTAGTAGATGGAATTATTCAGCTGCTACATAAAACATACTCATGCAGTGTTAACTATTTTTTCTAAATAGAGAACACATTTTGAGAAGTCACTTTTTAAAATGAAAATATAATTTAAATGTTAAATGCAAATGTATATTATGAAGCTGTAAAACAAATAAGGAGTTATGGTGGCCAAGCTAGAGGAATAGCTTGGAATAATTGCTTGGGTCAGATGCAGTTGGGTGATATCCAAGGGACAGAGTCATACACTGCCTTCCAAAAGGAAATAAGAGGGGCATGGTGTTGTGAAACAAAATGTACTTTAATGGATATATTGGAGATGATGTAACAGGCTAAATAGATGGAAGATAAGAAGAAAATGGATGTTCTAGGCAGGCCATAGCTAGGGACACCTTCTGGCTTCAACTCTAATGCAAATGTAGTTTTGACCACAATTTTGTTGTTGTTGAGTTGTTTCCAGTTCTCCGTGATTCCAGTTGGGGTTTTCTTGGTAAAGATACTGGAGTGGTTTGCTATTTCCTTCTCCAGCTCATTTTACAGATGAGGAATTTAAGCAAACAGGATTAAATGAGCTGTCCAAGGTCACACAGCTAGTAAGTGTCTGAGGCTGGATTTGAACTCAAGTCTTCCTGTCTTTTGGATCAGTGCTCTAGCCACAGCACCGTCTAGCTGCCCTTTGACCAAAATAAAAAGGGATGAATGTTGAGTTCAAATAGAAGAAAAAAACCCATAATAATTTATGAAGAATAATGGCATGCTAAACCCAGAAGGTCAATCTAAGCCATCATCCAAAGCAATCAACCTGTATCAAGCTGACTGAACAAATGAAAAACTGTATTGGTGATATTTCTCAACGCATCCTAAAAGTCCCTAGCAAAGAGCAAAAGATGTGCCTAAAGTGCCTTTGTATGCAGGACCACAATAGACCTGAAGGGAGTTAAAAGGTGAAAGTGAACAGAACGCAGTGGCACAGCATTGGATGGGAGAAATTTCTTCCCAATCTTTATCCCTATAAGAAAACAGTGAGAGCATCCCTGGGTTACAAATGCTGTAGTTACATTGATGTCACACACACCTTTGGGGAAAAAATATATGGATGGCAGACTAGGGAAGGGATAGAAAGAAGGGATATATGTGTATATTTAGGATATATGTGTGTACTCTTAAGTCATGCAAAACGAAACTCACCAAAATGCACAAATTAGGATATTATAAAGCAACACACTCGGTCTCTTGGTTTCTAACTTGCATTTCTGAGGCACATGGGACTCCTACAAAAAGCATAATGCCCTTCCCAGGATTTTCTTTTCTGCAATAAGGCAAATCACCATTGCTGGTTTTATTCTGACTGAACTATCCTCAGTTCCTTGAGAAGCTTGCCTCTGGGTTTTCTTTCATTCCCACTTGGTGGCATTTGCATATGGTAGCAATTGGGAATATCTGAGTTCTAGAATCAAACTCTTCTAAAGTCAGTTTATGCCTGGGGCAGGCACCATGTTTTATGTGCTGTCCGCTCTCCCGTCTGCTCCACACACTCAACATGAAAGGAAAGATAAATATTTCTCCACAGTATCTGCCTATACCAAAATATCTACAAGTGGATAACTTTTTGTTTTTAAGTTCAGATGTGTAATTTCACCTAGGGAGTTCTCAGATGAAGAAACTTCTGCCCATTCAGATCGGCTGCAAATTATAATCTTCAAGAGTAGAATGGGGTACGCAGGAAGATTAGGTGACTTGTCCAGAGTCACCATGTCCAACATGTCCAAAGGCAGAACTTGAAACCAGGTTTTCCTGATTCCAAAGCCAGCACTCTATCCACTACACCAACTTGCCTCCTAAAATCTGTAGCTCACTGTCCTTTATGTCTCCCTTGCCCAATCAACTGCCCATTAAAAAAACCAGTATATTATTTATATTTGAAATGTAGTACTTCAAGGTTTGCAAAGTACTTTATACACATTATCTTATTTGATCCTTACAATAACCTAGTGAAATAGGTGCAGTTATTATCCTCATTTAACTGATGAAGAAACTGAAGCTCAAAGGGGTTAAATATGACTTGTACAGGGTTGTTATTAAGTATCTGAGGGAAAATTTGAACCTATGTTTTCCTGACTTGTCTGATGTTCTCTCTACTATATCACACTGCCTCCTCTGATCTCTAGTTCACTGATTTTTGTTCCCTGCCTCCAATCAAATGGCTATAAATGTCTTTTAAAAGTATCTCAATGAGATCCTTTGGAATTTTCAAATATTGTCTAGGTAAGAACAAAAAACATGCTCCCTTGGGGATATCACAACACATTCTCGCACGGTCTAAGCTTAAGAAATTACTTGAGTCCTAACTTAGAGAAACTTTCTTGCCAAAGTAATGAGAAAATTTGCTTGGGACCCAAATGAGTACTCTCTTTTCCTAGTATTATATACTGGCTACAAGAGGCTCAGCTACCACCCAATGAGGCCAGGGTAATTTTCTGTTTTGGCTTCTGTGAGGTTTTTAACCAGCAAGCTTGCGGCTAAATTCATTTTTGTGACTCCTCAAAGGCTTTTTTTCCCCCTTGGTAACCACATGGTGTTGAATCCAGTTGCAAGGTACAGTGGCAAATCAGTAGTGCTAGTGATTATACCAAACATGTCTTGAAACCATGTCTAAACTACCAAACAGTGTAGTCGTGGGGACAACCAGGACTGAATGCATGGTGGAAGCCTAAGACAGTCATGATCTTTGGCCATTTGCCTCTGACTCCAGTTCTAAATCAAAAAGATGGAATTTCAAGAGGAGGAAATCCCAGGCATTTCTCAGCTCAAGGGAGGGCTTTTTGTAATATAAAAATTCTGAACTAAAGCTTAAATATGGTTAAGAGGAAATTAATGGAAGTAGGATCTTTAGAACAAGCTCTATTATAATAGAAAGAGCCATACATAGACCTAACACCAAAAAAAAACTGCATTCAAGAATGGTTTCTGACACATACTGACTGAGTGTTTCTGGCCAACTCCCTTAACCCCCATGCCCCAGGGAAATCTCTTAAGACTCCAAATTGTAGAACAGTTACAGATATGCACCAGCAGAGGGCATTTCCTCACCAAGAGCTCCTCATGCCAATGGAATTACAAGTCTAGTAAAAAAAAAAAAGTACATCAAGAAAGGGAAGGGTTGTAGGGAACCAATAGCAATAGCCAGCAATGGACTCAATTTGTCTTAGGTCTCTGTTCTATTCTACTCTGCAGGTATAATCAGAGTGAGAATGGGGCAGAAGATAATGCCTAAGGAACAGATAGTAATGGCTCAGAACTTTTGACAAGAGATGCTGTCTCTCTGGCTAGGTTTCTTCTGAGGACTCTTCTACTCCAACTTCTTTCCTCCCCCAATCTCAATGTGAGCCCGTATGTCCCCTGTCATTATCAGGTCTTGTGTCTTTGACTCATTATTGTTATGTAAGTCATTGTTTGCTGGTCTGTTAGGAAATCCTATATTTTTCCTTGTTAATTTCCTGCCCATATTACTTGAAGCATCTGCTAATATAAACACACAGCAATGCACAAGGCAAAAAACTCAAGTAACTTCCTGCTTGATTACCAGAGAGTCAATCAGAAACCAAACAGTAGATGCACAGCTTTTGTCTACCAATTCAAAACTTCCTAGAAAGACCATGTTGTTGATATTATGGAACCCAAACTTCCTAGTTCTCAAAATTTCTACCACTAAAGAGAAATGATGGAATTTTTAGGCAAATGAAGCCATGAAAAATAGCACCCAGAAAAGACAGAACCTCAGAATCACAAATGATCTCAAAGGCTAACCCATACCCAATCAGGAAGCCTCTCTACAATATTCTCTACCACACGGCCATCCATCTTTCATACATAGACCTGCAGTGAGGGGGAACCCACCAAGCCGCCCATTCCACTCTTGGGTAGCTCTTAATCATCAGAGGCTGTTTTCTTTCATCAAGCCAGAATTTACCTCTGCAATTTCTGCCCATTCATTGTTCTGCCCTTTGCAGCCATGAAGAATAAGTCTAGTTGTCTTTCACATTATAGCCCTTTCAAATGCTTTTTAAGACAATACTTGACCATCCCCCTAAATCTCCTCTTCTTCAAGTTAAAAATCCAACTGATTCTTGTCTGGCCTGATGTCAGGCCCTTGGCCATGCTGGACTCGAGAGGGTCAACCTCCCTCCCAGGGCTGAAATCTCTTCTACAATAGCCCTAACAAGTGGTCAGAACTTCTTTATTTGAACACATTGTCATTGGCAGTAATATACTGAAAGCTTATTAATTAACATCAATAACTACAATCAGAAGCAGCCTGGCAAAGTAGGCAGACAGACAATTTCAGAATCAAAAACCAAGAAGACCTGGATTCAGATCCTACCTCTGACACACACTGGCTCTGTGACCCTGGACAAGTCACTTAACTTCTTCAAACTATAAGCAAATTTCTAAGATTATAAATTGGAGAGCAGGTGCAGATCTGCACTGTTTGAAATGGTTTCTCACTCAGAGTTCCCCTACACTGATGAAATCTTGGCCTGTCAAAGCCAAAAAAAAGACCCATCAATAACCATACATTAATGATTCAGAAGATCTAAGACCTCATTAATGTGGGCACTTCATTTTTGGTGCAAATGGCAACTCATCAATGTCTTCTCATCCTGTGCAATTGTTGTCTTCATTCTACCAGACTGATGAGCACCTTGCTCATCCATAAATAGGTATGCTATTCCTTATCTACCTAATGTCACTTTTCAGGCAGAAATAG